GACTTCGATCCTGCATAACATAACTAGCTTTGAAAAAACTAACATTACAATTATTGTCAACCAATTAGTCGACGAGAGACAAGATTAATTGTAAGACTAGGAGAGATAAAAACTTTAGTGAGAGAGGTAGAAATATTACTAATGGAAATGATAGGTAAATGGTCGCCATCAGTAATATAAATCTCATTATTTCTAGAATATTTATTTACATTGGTAAGGAAATGAGTATTATTTTTCATGTGATTGGAAACGATCGATTCAAAGTACCATGTAGATAATGTAGAGAATGATTTACTTAAGAGTCCTAAAGTAGAGAATGTAGAAATGATCATTTATTAAATCATTTTAGGGGTCGCGAGGTTGAACGGGAGTAGGAGCACTTTATGTTAGATGTGTTGTATTCACGGAACCATCGATACTTAGAAGATCTAATTGAGGCGGCATATGTTGTTGTAGACCTCGTGGGAGGAGGGGTGGGTAGGGTATTTCTTAATAATATGGCTATCCTTTTTGCAATAGTTGTAGAATTTTTTGAAACAATTAAAAGCATAATGGCAAATTTTTTACAATAAAAACACTAAATAATGCTTATGTCCTTATTTCTTGGCTTACCTCGTGATGCATAAGCCATAGAAACATAAGTGAATCATTTTTTTCCACGAGTGAGTGAGAAGACGTTACTCCTCATAAAACAAATCATTCAAGCATGCATCCGAGGAGAGGATAAGGTCTCTATTCATAAGGTTGGATATGGTACCTTCAAATTCAAATCTAAGTTTTATAAGAAACTAATCCCTTTTAGTAGTCTTATAAACATATTGAACAAAGATAAAACTTTTAGAAAGTAAGGCATTATAGATTATATTAGTATATTCAACCCAAAGATTCATGAAACTAGAGTAAAAATTAGAGATAGAGAGATCGTCCTGTTGGAGAGTGGCTAAATCATATTCAATTTGGAACCGACAAGTAGAGTTATGTTAGTTGTAGAGTTTCTTGAGATGAGTCCACATCTCATCCGTAGTTTTTAAGAGGTTGAAGGTTAAAGAGGATGTTGCATTCGACGGATCCTAGAATCTATGCCATGATTTGAGCATTCGCAACCTCCCACTTGGCTTGCTCATCCTTGTCTTTTTCTATACAAGGGTTGTTGCCATCACATGGCCCCATAAGGCCTTTCCTTTGACAAATATTTGGAAGTGGAATGCCCAAGCTAAGTAGTTTTTTTCCTCAAAATGAACGAATAAGGCATCATACTTATCCGAAGATATAAGGTCGAGAGAACTTAATTGAGAATGACTAGGAACAAGAAATTGAACTATGATGAGGGACAAGAGACTCGTAAATTTTTTTTAAAAAAGTGGCTTTGATAGAATCATGAACTTAGAAGGTTTTGAGCCAAAAGATGTGTTCTCTTTGTGGAGAATTTTGAATACATATACATATACATACATACATACATACATATATAGATACATACATACATATATATATATATATATGAACCAAGCAAAGCTACCATACATATACAAATCTTTCTTACATTTAGTATATGTTAATTAAAATAATATCTCTTAATTAAGGAATGAGTATCATATCAAACCTAAACCTATACAAGGGATAGAATTTGCTCACTTAAATAGCTAATTAAGACTCGAATATTTATTGGTATAGAATCATGCTCACTTTAAATAAGCAATTAAGACCAAATAATTTCATTAATAGCATAAACGTTAATTGACATATTAAATAAATATTCACATATTAATAAATTAATTAACTTTTCACACACACACACACACACACACACACACTATATATATATATATAGATCAAGGATATTAAAAAATCTAGAGTTAACGAGTAATGTCATCCCTAACCAATTAATTTAGCTTTATAGGGTCGGGTGAGAAACGGGAGTGGCAAGTTTTGAGTTGGTCTAATTGCTCGGAGATTGTCATTAACTCATAACTTGCAAGATAAATATGTTAAATTTAAGAATTTTCTTATTTTTGCCTTTGAATTTTGGGTTTTGATGTGCTTTTTTTTTTTTCGATCAACGAGTTATCTAAAAAGAGTTTGATTTGAGTGAGCTAAGAATAAAGCAAACACAATTTAGTAAATGGTGGTTCTAAAAGAGAATTCTAGTCATGTTAGCTCATCACTTTCTTCTTTGGGACCTATAACCGTGAAGAGGACAAGGCTTGGTAAGGCCTAAGCATACATGAACAAGAGAATGAGAATTGATTCTCCTACTTCTAGATTGGGTGTTTCATCAACATAAGGTTCAAAGCCTTTGTCCATACCTAAACTTATGACTTAGGTTACTCTTTCTTCCATAAAGGTGGTTGCTCTTGCTTCGACGATCGTCCATCAATTGGGTGTAAAGGATTCTTCTCCATATAAAAAGGGCTTTTCAACTTTGAGGTGTTTGGATAAAGAGGTTGATATCACTTATCTTTGTTGCTTGGGGGTCTTCAGTGATGTAGGTACCTCGGTTGCTTTAAGATTTTGGTCTACTTTTGCTCATTTGCTAATAAACTTCGTCCGAGTAGGGACCTTTTAGAGATTGCTCCACCTTGTGGGTTTGGAAAAGAGATAAGGTTGTTCATCTATTCGGACGAGGCTTTGTTGCTTTCAGAGACTTACTAAATTTAGAGGGTTGTTCCTTGGCCAACGATATGAGAAGGATAATACAACTAACTTTAGCTATAAGTATTCTTTTTTCTTTTTTATTTTGAATTTTAAATTTTAACTCTAACATTCGATATCCAAATACTTTCCAAGCATAAGCTTATGGGATTCGTAGGTGAGAGGTTTAAGAGAAGAAGATGCTTGTGATTGCGAATCTAGTGCGTGGGTATTGGGCGGTCATCTAGGGAAAGAAGAGGGAGATGTTGTCCATCAACATGAAGATAGAGGACATGTTAAATGAGGTGAGTTACTCTTTGGCCAAAGCTCTTACTAATAGAAAGGTCATTGCTTGCCTAAGAGTCGGCAATGATGAAGATACTAGGTCGGTAGTCGTGACGTAGGAAAATTATGTCGCTTTAGAGAGGGAAAACTCTATAAGGCAAATTGGAAGTCATCTTAAAAAGTTTTGTAATAAATTTAAGAGAACTATTGGGCTTGTCGAAGTTTGTGTTGAGTAGTTGTTAGAGATCATGAAAGATGCCTATTTCTTTAACAAGGTTAGGAATATAGATATTGACTTTTTAAGGTTCTTTAAGGGTGAGCCTATACCCAAGTTTGAAGAGTAATATACGTATAAGACAGACTATTATTACAAAAAGAACGATATATTCTTAACGATCATTCTTTAATGAACTTTTCTCTTGTCGAGATGGATGACAATTCGAGGAGTTAGATTCAATTCCTACTCTTATTTGGAGTAGGGCTAAAGCTAAAGCTGTTTTTGGTATCCTCCCTCGCGTTCTTTTTAAGAAGAAATCTTTGGAGCTAATGTTGATCTTGTTTATCATCCTCTCCCTTCTTCTCAAGAAGTTCCTGAAGGTGCTACTTGATGTTTTTGAGAAAAATTCTATTCACTTGATTGACATAGATTTTATCAAATAATTGTTAATTAGAGTAAAAAACACAATCATGTAAATATATCATATCATACTAACATTTACAAACATGCATTTCTTGAAAAGAAAAAAAATAATCTGCAAGTTTATAGTTTAAATAAATAAATAAAATCTTGTAAGAAGAAAAAAAATTGTTGGATTAAAAACCTAATATATCTAAAGAAAGAAAAATAAAAAATATATAAGGAGGAATGTTGGTGTAGGTAGTATGATTGGTAAGATGGGACCTACCATGTGATGACGCCCTTATACATGTCAAGATCGGATCTGCGTGAAGTGGGCTCCACTCCATTGCTAGTCTCCAATTAGGTGTGATTGGGCCCTACCCACCAACCACTCTGCAGTGGGTGGTTCAAAAGAAATGATACCAGCCTTAGCCTTTCATGACAAAAACAGACGATGATCCAATCCGTTGGTTGCATATCCTTCTAATATGGTCCCACATATTTAATGGTCTGAGATTGGTGATAACTTTGGATCAGAAAATAGCAAGAAGAAATCGAAGTAGCCAATCAATAGAGAGAAAGGAAAGCGAAAAAGGCGGGGAAACAACAAGGCAGGATCAGAATCCAGGGCAAGACGAAGTGGAGGAGAGCGAGTCAAATGACACCGCGCTTCTCTATCTCTATTTAAGCTTATCTCAAACAACTTCTAGTATCTCTCTCTCTCCATTTTTCTCAGTTGAGATCTGCGCATTCAATCACAGGTCTGTCTCTGTCTAATTAATTTCTTTTTTCATTTTAATATAAAATTGATGATGTTGGTGTTCTTTCATTTATTAATATTCATGCTTTCAATCTGATTGTTTGTTTTTGTGTTTTAGCAATGTCGATTTAGGGATTAAATCGACAATATTTATTTTTATGTAAATAGATAGATGTAATTTGGATGAATAGCCATTTATTGATTGTTGTGCATGCAAATCCTTGCTTGGAATTGTAATGCAACTGGAAGCATGGAGGTGTTTGTAGCCGCCGCCTTGTAATTAGGAAAACTGTTTCTTAAAACTGCTTTTAGGAGCGGTTGGTATCATTTGCGTTTTTTGCTTTTGAAAGTTTTGAAATAAAATAAAATAAAAAACTTGTTTGTTTTTTCTTTTGTTTTCAAAAGATGTACAAACCAAAACAAACGAGTTTTTTTTGTTTCTGTTTCCAAATTTTTGAAACAGAAACAGAATAGCAAATGATTTATTTTATTGATTAATAATGTTGACACCGGTTTGATTGGATATGGGTGAATCAATAAATGACGACTGATTAATGGATCTACTTCCTTTTGTTTTAAAATGACTCGGTTTCGTTCTTTTTGTGTCTTTTTTATTTTTTTGTATTTTAAATCGTCGACTTGAATGCAAGTTAGCTTATTGAAATTTTAATTCCTTTTTGATAAATGATTGGGCCCAGTTTAAAGATGGATACCTTCCTATTCACCTCTGAGTCTGTCAATGAAGGCCACCCCGACAAGCTTTGTGACCAAGTCTCGGATGCCATCCTAGATGCCTGCCTTGAGCAAGACCCTGAGAGCAAGGTTGCCTGTGAGACCTGCTCAAAGACTAACATGGTCATGGTCTTTGGTGAGATCACAACCAAGGCAACCGTGGACTACGAGAAAATTGTTCGGGATACTTGCAGAGGCATTGGCTTCACATCAGCTGATGTTGGCCTTGATGCTGACAACTGCAAGGTCCTCGTCAACATTGAACAGCAGAGTCCTGACATTGCCCAAGGAGTTCATGGCCACCTCACTAAGAAGCCTGAGGAAATTGGAGCTGGTGACCAAGGCCATATGTTTGGCTATGCCACCGATGAAACACCTGAGTTCATGCCATTAACTCACGTCCTCGCCACCAAGCTTGGTGCCAAGCTAACTGAGGTGAGAAGGAACAAAACATGCCCATGGTTGAGGCCTGATGGGAAGACCCAGGTTACTGTTGAGTACAAGAATGAAGGTGGAGCCATGGTGCCTATTCGGGTTCACACAATTCTTATCTCAACACAACATGATGAGAATGTCACCAATGAGCAGATTGCAGCTGACTTGAAAGAGCATGTGATTGGGCCTGTTATCCCAGCTCAATATCTTGATGACAAGACCATCTTCCACCTCAACCCTTCTGGTCGGTTTGTTATTGGTGGACCTCATGGAGATGCAGGACTTACTGGTCGTAAGATTATCATTGACACCTATGGTGGATGGGGTGCTCATGGTGGAGGCGCTTTCTCAGGCAAGGATCCTACCAAGGTGGACAGGAGTGGTGCATACATTGTTAGGCAGGCTGCCAAGAGTGTGGTGGCCTCTGGTCTTGCACGGCGCTGTATTGTGCAGGTCTCTTACGCAATTGGTGTGCCAGAACCGTTGTCAGTTTTTGTGGACACCTACAAGACTGGCAAAATTCCAGACAGGGATATCTTGGAATTGATCAAGGAAAATTTTGACTTCAGGCCTGGAATGATTGCTATCAACCTTGACTTGACGAGAGGAGGCAATTCCAGGTACCAGAAGACTGCTGCTTATGGTCATTTCGGACGTGATGACCCAGATTTCACATGGGAGACTGTCAAGCTTCTCAAGCCCAAGGCCTAAGTCTTTGGCATTGGCTTGATTTATTTCATGGAAGTGGCTATTATCGTAGCCATCATTCTGCTTATGGGGGGTAATAAAGAAGCTTCAGCACATGCAAGTGATTCTGAGACGAACCTTCCAAGGTTCAAGTGAGAAGGGATTCTGGAGTGTGCTTTTTAGTTATTCGTTTATCAGGGGACATAAACAGTAACCGTATTCATCATTTCCATTATTATTAATTTTTTTTTGTACTTTCCAATGTTTTATCATTTATCTGGTTTGATCAATTCCGAAGCAATAATTTGTTTCATCTACAAATACTGCCGCCTGCTAACTTCATAACCATGATGAATCTTTGATTTTGACCATCACATACAAACAAGTACATATGACTACATCCATGAATTTCGGCAAACAGATAGTATTAATAACGAGAATGGCTGAAGCTGAGCATTTTTAACATAATTTGAGAAAATACAGCACACATCAAATTGTTTTTTCACGAAAATCAATCCTACAATGATTCACGAATGCAACCACAAGCGATCATGCAGGCGCTCTTCTCCGGCACCAAACATCTCATCTACCCTTTCCCCATCACGGTAAAAATGAAACGTAGGCGTGTAGCGAATGTGCTGAGTTGATTCCGGGCATTCATCAATATCCGCATACACGAAAGAAAGCTTTGGGAAGTTGTTACTCAGCTGGCAAAAAGCAGGAAGAATCTGGCTGCACACGCGACACCTGAAAACACAACAGACATTTAATGATATTGTGGTGATATAACCCGTTCATGAAGCAGAGTTATCTGACCTTTCTCAGCCAACAACATTAAGGCTGACCCAGAAATGATTAGTAACGATACCACCCCATCCTTCTATTGGATCACATAGAATTCCTGACTGAAACTAAAAATTCAATAGACCTTTCTCAATCAGATGCTATTGTGAAAAGAAATGCAATAAACGAGATTTCGAGATTCAGCATATTTGAATAACAAAAGCCCCGGATGGATGAGCTATAGCTCGACCACCAAAATTTGCATGCTGATAACAGCACCATCCTCGTTCCCTACAAGATTTGGATTTGAAACTCTTGGGAAACTGAATTAAATAAATAGAAGAGAGGCAAAAAAAAAAAAAAAAAAACACGGTGATACAGTCTATCTATCATTTCTTATATAATTATGTGTAGAAAATAGACAATTCTCGAAGAAATTAGACATCAAACACCTAGCATGCATTCGACACGCAAACAAAAGGGGGTTTAGCAAGGAGAGAGAGAAATCGCGTGCGTACCATGAAGCACCGTAGTTGATAACTGCCTGCAAACATATGATAAATTCAAGAAATTCAGGTCAGTGAAATGACAACAATAGGTTTTGAAGGCGAAAAACGGTGCAAAAGAAAGAGATAAAAGGTGGGGATGTGTGAATACTTACTGGGATATTGGAAGACTTGATATCATGAAGAATTTGAAGGTGGTTTTGATCGCTAGAAGCACTTGTAAGGTTCCCATGGCGATTCACTGGTAATTCCAAACCCGTGCCCTCCAACCCTTTCTTTGCATTATGCTCCATTTTTCTCACTGCACTTTTTTCTTGGCAGAGTTCAGGCAATTGAGACACTTTTTTAACTTAAGAAGAAGAGTCGAGGATGTCAATTCTCGCACAATTAATCTTTCCTTTACACCACACGAATTTGGAAATTTTTTTTTTTTTTCTTTAGTTTCCCGACAAGAACACACAAATGGGAGCACGCTTACCGTATATACACTGACTCCGGAGCGGCAAATTACATTACAATTATTACAATAAATAAAACTAAAAGATCAACTGCCAGTATTCCTAATAATTTCTTACAGATCTGAAACTATCACTGTTTATTGATTGTTTAGTGGCATTTTGATGATTTCAAGATAATTTTTAGGCATTAAATTTGGAGTTTGCCAAATGCTGCACTTAGTCCTTGATATTCTTAAAAAACTTATGTTTCGATTCTCAACTTACTCGATATCGTGATTTAATTCTTAAAAGTAGAGAGAAGAAAGAAACAAAAAGAGAAAGGATAAGAAAAACCTCAATGAGGCTCGATTCTCGTTACTTTAATAATGTTTATTGTGGAGAAGAGAGTTTGTTTACTGCGGTTTTAACCCATAAAATAACTGAAGAAGATAGATCGAATCCTAAAATATTTTGAATTTTTAGATTTTTTTTTTTTTTTTTATATATGCGTTGAAATGCATTTTAAAATTCAAAAAGAGTTTCTTAACCTTATTTTACTGATTTTGAGACAAAAAAAAAATACAAAAATGACGACGGAATTGGGCTTTGAAGGTTTGAAACTATAATCTTAATTTTTCACTAAAGATTGCAGCCACGTTTCCAACAATTCTTAGTTCATCAAAAATTGTATGTGGACAATACGTCTCTCTTATTGCACAATGTGTCATCCATTTGTTTGGTTTTTTTTAAAAAAAAAAAAAACGAGGACAGGCTGCACAAGCCTGTTTCTATAGCCCAAGGGCGCAAGCCTAGTTTGGTTCCTTTTTTTTTTCCAACTTTTATTTTCTAGCAAATTATTTTTATATTTTTATTAAATTTGATTCAAAAATTATGAAAAAATAATTGTTATATTTTTTGGTTTTCTATACAGTGTGGCGATAATGAAATATATATATAATATGTTTTCAGATTTTAAAACAAACATGTACGTTATATTTTATTACTCTTTTTATGAAAACTTTCATCGAATTAATTTTTTATTTTTTTTATATAATTTTATTTGTAAATAAATATGATTTATTTTTCTCTATATATGAATTTTAAAATAAAATTCATTAATATTTTTTTCATAAAATTGTATAAAAATTATAAAGCAATAATTAATTTTAAAACTTGATAAAAATTAACAAATAAAAAATAAATTTTTATTCCTAGTTAATACTTATGAGAAGATTAATTTTTGTTTTGAAAATAGACAAATTTAATTCATATATATTTATTCACAAAATAATTAAAAAGGTTAGCATAAAAACTATATTTTAATCATTAGATGGTTCTTCTAAAACATTATTTCAATTATTTAATTTGAAAGAAATTAATTTTATAATATTAAAAAATAAAAAATAGTTGGTTTTATGTGTATAAATACATAATTAATTTTTAATAAAACTAATAATTCTCAATATTTTTTTTATACATGGCTGCTATACTTGTAGGTTAAAAATGTGCAATATAAAGCAAAATATATTTAAAAGGTACTTAAATTGTAAGGTATATATTGAATATATTTGATGTTAACAAATTGAAATAAAAATCATTAGAAAGTTATTTTTGATAAATTTTGCTTATACATATAAGCAAATAAAACACGTGAATTCTATTTTTTAATCAATTATTTAAAAAAAAATTTTTCAAAAGTTTGAGATAAATTATCCGAAATATATAAGAAATATCATATAAATTATATTAATATATTAAAAAATAGAAAAAAATCATCATGTTTTAAGAATTAAAAAATCAGATTAAATTTTCTATTTAAATTATTGTAATTTTTTATTTAAAAATCATTGCATAAGGAAGAACAAATCATGTTTTTTTTTTTTTTAACTTGAAAATTTATGAAAAAAGAAGAAGAAGAATTGATTAAATACAAAATTTTGATTACAAATTTATAAAATTGGATGAAATTTTATTTTTATCTTTGATAGTGGATCCACAACATAGCGCAAGCTATCAAACCAAAATAATTTTTTTAAATAATTTCACTTGTTCGTCTAATCCACAACAACGTAACATAGACAAGTAAACTAGTTTCTAACTAATTGGAGTTAAGAGGTGCCAAATCCATTTGGATTAAATATAATATTGAATGATTTTAATGGCTAATCCTTCATGAATGTTAATTAGATCCTGATTTTCGAATTAATATTGATGGTTGGATGATGGGGAAGCTGGAATACCTTGTTGGTGTGGACTAACATGGCTGGTTGGTGGTTGATGGTTGGATGAGGAAGCCATCAACGTGGATAACATATTCTTAATCTTTATAAATCAATCCTCTTACTATTTGTGAACTTGTTCCTATTTGTTTGAGAGGATTCTCAACCCTTGAGCCATTGCTTCAAACTTTTTAGATGTGTCTTGAGCTAACGTCTTGAAAGCTTCCTCTAGCTTGTTAAAATCATCAAGTTTTGCATTTTTTTAGCCATAGAGATGAAAGGTTCAGGAAGGGACATGCTTTGATACCAGTTTGTATGGAAGAAAAAGAAAGAGAGAATGAGAAAAGAAGGAAGGAGGCAAGAAAGAGAGAAGGAGATGAAGAAGACAAAGTTTGCTATAATTCTTGTGTATATTATTCATGTTTATTTGTACCCTACTTATACTACTTTTCCTTAATCGATAATTAAAAAAAAAAAAACCAACTAACAGGTCTATAATGGTAACAATGGTCCCAAGCCTACACCATAAGCCTTCAACAACATAAGGCCTAACCTAAATTAGTGCAATTGCATATCTAATTGGATAAATCTCCAATTTGGCAATTCATTTAGAATAAGGTTTTCATCTTTTCGCCTCCAATTCCTTCTGCACGTATCACTAAAACTAAACTCCTGACTGTTGGGGCCCAAAGCTTTTCAAGCGTAAGATTTCCCGAGGGGATTTTCCACCATTTATTAGATTGAGAGATTTGAGATTCTTGAAGGAGTGGAGTGGCCATATGTCCTTTAGGGAGGTGACCTCAAATATGTAGAGATTCTGGCGTTTTGAATAATTTGCACAGAATATAAGTAATTGTCATACGCTTCTCCGGTATGCATAATTGCCGGAAACAAAGCTCAGTTCTAGGTTATGGTCATAAGTTTCTCATAATTCTGCCTCATCAGTTGCGTTTCAAAATCAACAATATACTTGCACATCTAACAGTCATCCTTCTAAAAAAAAATTCCTTTAGCACTGTTCCTTCCAAAATCAAAGATTTTTTTTTTTTTTTTTTTGAAGGAATGAATATTTTCTTTTGTTTAATAATATGTATATCGTCGAGTTTCAGAATTTTTTACTCTGAATAATTTTGGTCCAGCTACATTTACCGCATCTTAGTGATGGCATTCAATTTTCAAACCTGTGCATGCCTCTGCATCTTGTACTACAGTATAGATGACAATCCTTAAGGTATTGAACATTGGTGAGGTAAAAAGACATAATATGAGCAACGAAAAGCTCTTGAAGACATGTAAAAATAGGCTGATTATTCAAAACTAACTGACTGTTCAACACTAGAGATCCTCTGATTGGTGAATAGAGCTGTGAGATTCTTTTAGCTCTTGCCTAAAAGCAAATAGGAAGTTCTTTTAATCAAATGTCATCCGACAGTTGCTCAGCTAGGGCTTTAACAGGTTATTCAGCAGTTGTCTTTCTCCATCTTAATTTTTGGCTTTTTCACTTTTCTATTCCCAATCAAACCCCCCACTGTTCTCATTCAGTCTGCGATCACTTATTCCATATATGCTGCAATTGAGTGGGTGGTGCTGCGGTCAGATAAAGGTTGCAAGATTCTGAAGATTCATAGCAACAATTCAAAGACGAGAAAAACCATCAACTCAGTGAATCTCAGAGAATGCCCCTGGATGGAACTTCTTGCACAGTGATTCTACAGCTGATTCAATCTGTGCCTGCTCCTGCAATCAGTTGCACGAGTTACTTGAATTTATAGGAGCAGCTTGGTGCTAACTTAAGAATTCTAATGGCAAAAGTTAGATTACAGAGAAAATTTTATTTTACCTTGCCTTCAAAACTAATTATTAGAGGCCCTTTTCTGGATTTGCGATAACAACCTTGATTTTGCACAATGAAAGATCACACTATGAGAAGAGACGTCATATCTACAAAAAATTACCCAAAAAACAAATCAAAGAACCTTAGTATCTTACCAATATACAGATCTGGGAATTCAAGACAAAGTTTCGACAGAGGTTGGACAGTTTCTACCTGCATTTATAGAAAAAAAAATGTAAGTAAAGTGATGCTACAAATATACGTGCTGTTGAACAATATCAAGAAAAGCAGCTGTTTGTTGCAACATGCTTTGCAACTAGCAGTAGCTCTTGTGACTCTTGGCTAATTGATAGTGGTTGCACAAACCATATGACCAATGACCAGGAGCTCTTTAGAGAGCTAGATAAAACTATCATTTCCAAGAGTTGGGAATGGTGAATGCATTTCAGTCAAAGGCAAAGGAACCGTGGCTATAGAGAGTCTGACAGGTTCGAAATATATAACTGATGTTTTATATATGCCTGACATTGACTAAAACTTGCTGCGTAGCACAGCTGCTTGAGAAGGGCTTTAAAATTTTATTTGAAGACAAATGGTGCATGATCAAAGAAGAAGGCAAAGACGTGTTCAAGGTGAAGATGAGAGAAAAAAGCTTTGCTCTAAATCTAATGGAGGAGGCAAATAGTCTTTCCAAGCAATATGAACAAGCAGAATTATGGCTTTGAAGGCTCGGGCAATTTCATCATGCTGGACTTTTGTATATGCAGAAACATGATCTGGTATAAAGGAAGGTGTTGGGGCGGGGGGTGGTGGGGTGTGTGGGTGTTTGTTATGGGGGGTTGTACCACTACTTGAAGAGAGGCTAGCAGATTGTGTGGCTTGTCAGTATGGCAAGCAAGTCAGAAGCCCTTTCCCTCAAACTGCATGGAGAGCATCACACAAGCTCCAACTGACATGTCCTGATTTTGGACACACCATGGCAGTTGAGACTTGAATTTTTTTTTTTTTTTCTTTTTGACGTATCGGGTTCAAATCTTGGGAGGGGTGGGCTGGGAATTTAGGTTGGGGGAGGGCTACTCCCCATTGTGTAGCCCAAAGCTCCATTGAGCCTCCAGTGAACCAAAAAATAATCTGATACATTCTTAAGAACGAACTATAAAAATTATAAGTGCCCCCACATAAGCGGTAGATGTTCCTGAATGCATATGCTTGCTTCTGCAATTCAACCTGAAGCTACCAAGAAATCTTATACCAAGTATTGGAGTGAAATTTCCAAGAAACTAAGAAGTCAACCAACCTTGAAGAAAATTAACCAAAGATGAGCATCTTAACAACACCCAATCCTCAAATATCATGACAAGTGATTTTTGTGGGAGTGCCAATGCGTTTACGTTTTAATGACTACATTAGATGCCAATGGTATCCGTGCATGGACCAAAAACTTCACCAAATAGGTGATTATATTGCAATTTAGTCAAGAACCAAGTATAACTAATCCAAATACAGCAAGAAAGATGGCATGGTCAGGGCGAGTATTTATCAAGGAACAGATGACAGAAAAATATAAATACATGTGGACATCAGTCAGAAGGATGTAGGCAAACAGGTTCAACTCTAGCACTAAACAAAATCAAATCATATCACAGTAGAAGTTAATAAACCAAGCGGAATGAAATGGTAGATTTTGATACGCACGTCTGAAAGATTTGTCTGTAGATGCTTTGACATGCAAGGTTCCATAGTTGACAACAAGTCACAAGATCTTGTTAATTCAATCAAACAATCCCACTCTGTGTCCAATTCAGTGACATTCGTTGCCGTGAAAATGATTACATTCTGGCACTTAATCTGAAAGGATACAATCATTTGACACATATTCAAACAACTCATAAATAGCATTAATTGCATTTTTCAAGAGAGTAAAAACCACAGCACAAGTACAATATTTTAGCTTCCATATACATACCAAAGGCACTGCCAGCTTTTCATGATGCAATAACTCAGTGATACCTTCAGGCAACAGTGCCATCTGAAAAAAGGAAAACCAGGGACAAGATTAAATTCAAGCTGCATAGATTGTAAGATGTTGGTGGGCTTGCATATTCGGAGAAAACTTCAGGAATGCAAAACAAACATAACATTTAGAGACAACCAACAGCAGATCAATTATGAAATCCCTGTCATCAAAACTTGTGCTGGCTAAAGTATAATAACATAGTCCTTCTAAAACAACCTAGTAATCTAACCCAAGCATTGAACCAAGTCGAAACACAACCATCAAGATCTAGAGAACACCAATGTTAGTGATATTTTTAGACCATCTGATACCCATTCCATTAGTATATGATTATCAAAACAAGGTAAAGCCCCAGGAGGGAAAAAACTCAATGAACCTAATTTTGCTTCTTATTTGTGCTTTTTTTCAATGCAAACACCATATCTAGATCAATTGTCTTGATTTTCAAATAAGTTAACCCCATAAGAGAGGGAATTTGATTCCACAGCAACAAATACATTATCTCAAGTAGATTGTCATCATTCCACATTATAAATGAATGCCCCTGAGCAATAAACACGTAATGAGATTGAGGCATACACACCCCATTCTTTTGTTTTGCTAGTAGCAAACCATGAACTAATTGCAGATATTAAATTACCTCATTTCGATCACCAGAGCAATGATCACTTATAAGATGCCTGAGATATTCTTCAAATTCTTCATCAGGAGCCTACATTGAACAGAATTAAGAGGGACATTTAGTGAAATATATTAAACTACATCGCAAGTCAAAAAGTTGGGAAAAGCTGAATTCACCCTGTAGCAGTAGTTGCTACCTGTCTTCTCTCTCTTCTTTTTTTTTTTTTTTTTTTCCTTTCCTTTCTCAAGATATCAGATTCAATCAAGAAATTTAAGACATGAAATGAAGATCTTCTAAAATTCCAGGAACTATAACTCATTAAGTGATACAACGGGTGATTCCATACAGACTAAAGAGAACAAATGTAGCTATACTGATTAGGAGAAAGGACGAGAGAGAGAGAGAGGGGGGGGGGGAGAGTAGCAAAACTCACAAGGCGAACCCCAAAAGCCTTTGCAACACCAGCTAAGGTAACATCAGAGTGCAATGGCCCCACCCCTCCATATAGAAAAACCTACAACGATCAAGTACAGACATTGACCCATCAGATCATAAAAAGACAGCCCCAATTAACTTCGTTATGTCAGTAGGGAAATCAATAGAATAGCTCTTTTTACAGAATGTGAGGATATACCATATCGTTGGTAGATTTCCTTCGCTCAACCTCTTCAGCCACGGAATCTATCTGGTGCAAAGAAAAATACACAAAAAGGCAGTTTTAAGTGAGAACAAGGAACTCAAATGTTAGAATTCTGTATGTAAGCCTGCACAGATCATCTAACAAAGAACACAAAGCGTATCATTTATCCAAAATCTTCCACTTAAATATTGAATCATTTCCACCCTCTACATATGAAATACAAACACAAATGCCACTTCAAATTTGTACAAGCCACCAGCAGTATGTGATATTTTTAATAGAAGACAACTCACATCATTCCGAACAACAGCAGTTTGTGATACAGACCAACCAATGGAATGGAGCTTTCTACACAATGAAGGTCCCAATTGATCCTCAACAGTGCCAAACCTGAGCTATGGAACAGACAACAAGAACCAGAAACTTCAGCAATAACAGCTGGTAGTGGAAATAATAAAAGATAAATGGCCTAAAATACACAAACACACCCAAATATTTAGTTAGACAGTGAGAATCTTGTTCATGTCTCCATTACATGCATGACCACCAAATGTCTGCACAATAAATACAACCCACAATTTCCAAAATTGGGATGCTTGTATGCAATCTCAGAAAAGACAATAAGACAATTTGGGGGTTATGAGCTAATGCAAACTTAACCACGGTATCATGAAAATCATTATCTAATACATGATAAATAAAAATCAGCACATCAAGCTAGAGTGGTGGAACAGTTATCATAAACAAGAAAAAAATTGTCTCAATAGTTTAATAAAATTGGTATACATTGAGAATCCAACCAGCACTTAATTGTTGGATGAATTGCCAGTTGCAAATGAGGCAAACTCCAAGATTATGAAGAAGATACAAAAACTATGATACAAGTGCAGAAACTAGCAGAGATACATACAATGCATGTCTACCAATGAGGGACTTACAGAATCTCTTCTCCCACAGCAATGACTGAGGCTATAAGCAAGCTGCTTTTATGTGAATCCACACTGCCTGGGCCGTTATCAACGGAAGAAGAAAACTTTTTTCCTCTCCCTGCCCTTTCTAATCTTCCATCAGAAAGCAAGTATGCAGGCTTGAATTTTTCTTTGCAACTGGAGGAGTCACTGATGGACAACAATGCATTTGGAACTGTGTCATGTATACTCCCTATTGAAGTGTATCTGTGCAAAAAAAAAAAAAAAAAAAAGAACACACAGGTTATTATGAACAAGGAGAAACCAGTTACCATTGAAGAGAGAATGCATCATGTATAAGCATTTGAGTAGGAAAAAAATTAATAAGGAATGTTTGCACCTACAATATTTTTGAACAATAAGACCAGTATTTCAAGTTATTTAAAAGAAATATTACCCCTGATCATAAAGACTACAATACTGGACCTTGCAAGTTAGAATAAAGGCCCAAACATCTCTGCAAAGGAAACAGAAATAAGTCAAAAGCACAGAAATATATGCCAACCTGAAATATGAGGGAAAAGATAAAATGTTAACACTCACTCACTGTATGCTTTTCAGAGATAATAAGACATGATGGCAATACAGATAAGAGCAGTTGGAATTGTCACTCTTAGCGAGCACTTGGTAGCAAATACTTTACACATAAATTTAACAGATGCTTTTTTAATATATATGCATAAAACTGATGTATATATGCATAAAACTGGCGTATTAATTATTGAATGCCAAAGGAAAAATAGCAATGGGGTGGTAGATAGCTAGTGGTAAATGACCACCTGTAAGACCAATCCAAGATAGGATTCACCCTCATAAAAGGAGGCCATCCAGGTGAACTAGGGGAGAACTGTTCTTGACCCACCTGCATGATTCAAGGAAAAACCTTATGTTGTCAGGCACGTCTGTGCTCAATATTTCCAAATCAGGCACATAAAATTGCAGAAATGATCTCATGGTAGGAAACCACATAGCTATCTTTCTTCAAGTTTAAGTGTTAAGCATACCGCAGTAGGATCACCAATTCGAACACCAAGGAAAATAGCTCTAATTGGATTAGCCTTCAGTAACTTCTCCAACCCAGACTTGAAATCTGAACTAATGATGTCTAGTTGCAAACCATAACTGCTCATAAGAAGTAATTCAAACGTAAATAAACTGACCGAAATAGTTACTCATATAAAGTAATTTAACATAAATAAATAAACTGATTCCCTAACATGTAAAAGTTTCCAGATCAAACAAGCCTAAAAGAAATGATATTACTTTGCACAGAAATTTTATCAACATATATTTCATTCCTCGCACAGTACATTATGAAAAGAGCTTCTCACCTAGATGCAGTATCATAGGTAAATGAGTTGATTTCGCAGAAAGCAGAAGAACTTTCAAAGTATATTGTTCGAATTGGGAAACCATTCAGACTCCCATTAGAGCAATTTTGCTCCATTTTATGCAAACAATAGCCAGCCCTGAGTAGGTGCAGTAGAACCTGCAGATACGTGTTTATTGTCATCATTGACAAGACAAAAGATAACAAGAGGATTGCTTAAGAAAATATGGAAGAAATCCTACAGTTGAATCCTTTCCTCCGTTGAAGCTGAAGGCAACCTCCTCGGTCCTGCAGAATAAAACAGTTTCAGAACTTGCAAGCATCAGCCATCATACTTGTGTGCAGTTGATGAATGGATAAAGATTGAAAACCTGGCTATTCCATAAACCTATGCATTTAGAGCACTTAACATCTCTGCCAATTTTATACAGGCTTATGTTTGCTTGGATGTTAATATCTGAGAAATCATAAAAACTCCACATTAACAATGTAAGCATACATTAGGTACTTCTTTCACGAACCAGGTCCAAAAGAAAAAAACACCTACATCAAGATATGAGGTACGGGTGTCTGCCTGTAGGATAAAAATAAAATGCAGTCTACTACTCCCTTTGACCAATAAAATGCATTATCGGGTGACTTGCACAAAAGAAGACAGCCTAATCAGCCAATGAAGCTTCTAAAAGCTATTTCTATCCCATTGTATATTATGTTTTGATATTTTCCAAATTCAGTTGACAATCTACAAAATAAAAAATTTCAACATTCTAAATTTCCATTCTGTCCACATTACAATCAAAAGAATTTCCACCAGTTCCACAAAACCATGAATTTCTTAAAAAAATGAATAACAACACCCTGCAATAAGTCAGATGCTTCAAAATCTTTTAATTAATAAGTGAAATACTTTATTTACCAATTAAACTCCCAATTACTCTCTAATAAGTATGATGCATTAAGTATAGTAAGAGGGTTTCGTTCAATAGTGACAGTCAGAGGATTAAAATCCTATATTGTTGATTTGACAAACAAAATGTGCAAACAAAATTCTACTCATCTAGCAGATGTTGTAATGCCTATATCAGAACCCACATCCCCCGTCCCTTATTTAAGAAAGGATTATAATTGCTTATTCAAAAGGCCAACAGCACCGGCAACACGTGGTGAAATCATTTAATCGAAGAATCATGAAAGGAAACACAAGAATCCAGACAAGTATTGGCAAGAAACACCATCCATTAGATCCAAAAAGATAATCAAAATGCCTTCATGCAAACACATTTCAACTTTCTCTACAAAGCCAAAAATAAATAAACAAACAAGGAATTGATCCTAAAATCGATATTCAATGAATTTATATCATTGAAACATTTTCATAGATAGACTTTCATTGGTATGAATAACTGCTTTACATGCTCCCTGATAAAAAGCATGCCGAAACAATCGAACAAACAGACAATTGCGAATCATTCAAATTCAATTATTCCAGGTTAAAGAGAGCTTAACTGGCTCCAAAAACATTAAAGCCAACAAATCTTTTACATTGCTAAATACCAAAAAGGAACTAATATGGCAGATATACATAAAAAGATTCCATTTCACCCTTATTGTTGACACCAAACTCCATGCAAATAAAACATGCTTAAAATTCAAAATTTTCTTCTGTGCTCAACCAAGAACGTATCCTTGAATTGCTCCATTCTTTTTTCATTAGTAATATCCAAAAAAAAAAAACATAAATCTTGCTGTTCCTTTTCCATTGCCTAGATATTTTGATTCTAAAAACCTGACCACGGAATTCAAATTCCAGTTCAATACCAACCAAGATTATAATAATAATGATTATTAGGTAATGTAAACTAGAAGAAACCAATCAAAGGAAGAGATAATAAAGAACTCACGAGTATAGAGCAAGAGCTCTTTTAATAACATAGATGGCGTTGTTGTACTTGGTTTTAAGCCTCCTATCATCACTTTCTCTGATTGCTTTATCGATCTCCATGTTCCCTGATACATAAAAATCACAAAATAAAAAGATAGAAAGATAGCGACAAGCAAATGGGGTTTCATAAATTCAAAAGAAATTGATGTTTCTACTCATATTAAACTTTTACCAACTGAAATTAAGGTAAATTGAGCAAATGGGTTGTTGTCGATTCAGATAGATTTTGCAGAAGCTTGAACTGAAATTCACCTTCTTTAACTGAAAAGTCAGCCGCAAAAGAAGTTTGAAAATGATAAATGCTTACAAAGAGTTAAAGACCCAAACTTTTCTACTTCTTTTTATTTTTTTTCCTTTTTTTAAATGGCTTTTGGGTTTTAAAAAAACAAATGAAACTTTTATCTGACACAGAAGGCGTGCTCTTTAGTTGGTACACCACAGATTGTTTATCTGACACGGAAGGCTACAAATGGAGATTTTAGTCAGATTTTTCAACACGCAGACAAAACGTTGGCTGAAACGGAAAAAGGAAACGAGCTTGGCACGTAAATGGAATACCAAGACGTGACTTGTCTTGTGAGCAGAACAAATTCATACTATTCTTGGATTCGATTCCTCCCTCTAGTTTTAGATTTTCTTTTCCATTAACAAGATGGAAATATTTAGGTTTTAGGTTTTTGCAAATATATACATCTGGTTCGAAGGTTGGTGGATTTATGCATTGGTTTTAAATTTAACGTTCAATCTTTTATTTTTTATTCCACGATAAAAAAATGTATATTTTTGAAATCATTTGTGGATTAGTTAAAACAATTTTTTTTTCTTCCTATATTTTAAGAGTCCATTCTTCGTATCAATTTAGTGCATTTACAAAAATTTTATTTCATTTATTTTTTAAAAAATTGTTTTATAAATATTTTATATAAACCTAAAAAATTATTAATTATTATATCATATCAGAGTTTTTTATATTTTAAAATTATATTTAAATATTTTTCATAAAATAAATTATAATTAAGAACATTTTAAAAAAGTATTTCGCATAAAATTTTGATTAAACATCTTAAAATTTTGTATCGATTTAGTACATTTACAAAAATTTCATTTATTCAAAAAAAATATTTCTTTAAATTTTTTATACAAACGATAAAACATTATTAATTATTACACCATATCAGCTTTTTTGTATTTTAAAAAATATTTTTTAAATTATATTTAAATATTTTTTATAAAATATATTTTAATCAAAAATATTTAAAAACAATACATTACTTAAAAATTTGACTAAACAAATATTGTAAAATAGATATAAATAAAAAAATTAATTTTTTTTACAAAGAAAGTAATAAATTTCCCAAAATACAAAATTGATAAATCTAAAACTTAAATGTTAAATCTAATCTCAGTGCATGAAAACTATTTCGAAAATCTTTATCATTCAAACGAAAAGAAATACAAATAAGTACATTAATTTGGATGAAAAAAACGATGCAAAACGTTAAACTTTTTCCATGTTTAATAATCAACAGTTATTGGGTAAATTACACTTACCTTTGTTTTCTCTAAAGATATTTGATATTTACAAATATGCACATTTGCTCGTGTAGAAGGGGATGCGAATCTTTTCTTTTCTTTTCTTTTTTATAAATAAGGGGATAAAAAATTATGCAAATCCTAATTTCGTGGGAAAAAGTGCAGAAGTGATCCGGTGCTTTCCTAGTTCTTTCATTTAACAGATTCTGGTTTCGTACTTGCTGTCAAATTTTTTATTTCCTAATTAAATTCTTAATCCTTTCTTTCCCTAACAATTGACCAAGATGATTACCAAATATTCTGCATCCATCACTTGCCTGTGAAATGTAGAGTAAATTATAAATTAGTCCCTCTATTTTTGGAAAAACAAATTAATTAGTATTTATATTATATATACTATCTTATTATTAATATGACACCTCATCAAAGTGTTCAAGCCATATTTGCTAGTTTTTAAAAATTTATTTATAATTTTAAGAGTTCACACATTTATTTTTAAAAAAATATATATTGATACACTTAACTGTAAAAATTTTCGCAATAGACAAATTTATTATGTTATTAAAGGTGATATAAACGTTAGAAAGTTAGATTTACAAATCTATATATTTTTCACACCTCATAAACACATAAGCAAGACCCAAAGGGCTGAGGCCAACGCAAGTGCATCGACGGCCGACGTGTCAGATACTGAATAATCTATCGAACTATCCCAACACATTTAGGCCGGCGCATCGGGCCATTGAATTAGGGCCCATGTGGGCATGTCTCCAATTTATGACCTTTTGGTATTTATTAATATCAAGCACAAGTGGGACATTTCAAAAACTGGTGCATAAGGCATTAAAAATCTATTTCTAGTTAAATTTTTATCCTCAAATCTACTTTTTTGCATAGAACGATAAATAAAAAATACATTGATTAGATATTACATTAGATTCATAAATGTTGCTATTATGTCAACTTTAATGTCACGAGGAACAAAGTTGGTCATATACTTAGAGAGTATATTTTACATGCAAGCAGCGCATGAGAGAATTCCTAGTTATCTTAAACAGTTGTTGCTGAAAAAAAAAGATATTACTTGAAAAAATCACGGACGTAAAAAATATCAAAGCAGTTTTATTAAAATTTTTACGTGATTATTTCATAATATAGTCAGATTATTTAAAAAAAAAAAACAATACACGTCATCTATATAAACCTTTAATATAATAGATCAAATGTATCATGTATGTTGTTTTAAAATATAATAAGTTCAATCATTTTATTATGTTTTAATAAATTTGTATTTTTTATTTTTAAAACTCGAAATAAAATAGTATTACTCTTAAGCAAATTTGTAATGCAAAAAAAAAAAAGTATAAAAAAAATTATATGATTTTTAGTGGGAATTTAAAAAAGACAAATGAAGAAGATTGTTGTAAAGTGTATGTTTGTCAAGTATTATTGTATTTTTTTCTCACTTGTATTTTGCTAGGATAACAACGCTATATATAGGTTAAGAAAAATAAATTACCGTTTGAGAATTTATTGTCATCATAAAAGAGAACTCAATGATAAGCTTGTCCGTTTAAACAACAAAGACAAATGACTAGTTTTTTTTTCTTTGTTTTTTTTTTTCAAAAACTATTTTTGACAATAACAGTTTAACAGATCCCTATTTTAATAATAATAAATTTTTAATATTTAAAAAAATATTTCAACAATCCTTCACTTAATTTTATAAAATATTAGTCATATAATTTAGATAAGAAACAAATATAATACATAATAAGATTATTAATAACTTGAATTCTTACTTAGTGTTTCAAAAATATTTTTATTAAATCAATAGTGAACATTGTTTTGAATTAAGACTTTTTTATAAAAAATAAAAAAAAATCAAGTATTGTATCACAAATACTATATTCAAGTACATCGCAATGAGTTTTAAAACAATAACATTACAGACCTTATACTTGATCCCAGACTTTCACAACCAATTTAGAAAATTTTTCATATTCTTAAATAAAACGGTCTCACTTTTCATGTTCCTATAAGTGTATCCATCACGGTTGTCCCCACAACATTCCATTCAAAAATAACTATAGATCACCTCAAAAGTTTTCTATAAAAAAATTTAACATTTCATTCGTCATGAAATCCATGTACTTGCACCATAGGGATGAGAAAAATTAAATTACTACAAGTTAATCAACTATTCTTGTGATTAGTTTTTTTTTTTTTCCTTTTGAATTTAGATCTTTGGATTTTCAATCAACTAGGTAGGTATCTTTACGGTGTAGTTTATTTATTTAGAAGTTAAGATTCTCCTCGATGTTATCTAGATCTTATATTTGCCTAAAGTTTTTGTAAAAGAATTAACTATATTATTCTTTGTTTTGATATAATCAATATTTGCGGCACCATTATTTATGTATGATCTCACATTATTGCATTTTCTTCTAAGCGATATAGATTTTCCATTATAATATTTATTATACATATTTCCAACAAGCAATTGTGTTATCACAAATAACTTAAGACAAGTGGTATAGGTTTTTTCTACATAAGAATTTCGTATAAAAAATTACTTAATCGACTTGCTTCACCACTAGTTAAGGCTAGAGATATCGACTTTGCTTCGATAGTGAATTTAATAATTATCAAATTTTTTTTAATATATTGCTTCTTCACATAAAGTGAGAAAATGGCTAATGTTAGATAATAGTCACATGATAAGATGTTTCAATCAGCATCACTATACTCTTCAAGTACAATAAGATACTTTTGATATAATATGCCATAATACATAAAAAAAATTCAAGTATCTCGTTAAACGAGTTATAGCATTTAATTATTAAGCATTGAATTTGCTAGTAATAGCATTTCAATGAGAAATTTTATAATATTCAAGGAGTAATTAGTGGCATATACAAGTGGTTACTCCATGGACCCATTTTAAGGAGAGAGAGAGATACATAATAACAAGAGAGAATTAAATCCAAACTACCAAAAGCAATAAAAAGATTTTCATGTTCGCTTAATTTTTTTAATTTTCTCTCTCGTTTTTATGTGTCTATCTCCCTCATCGAAGTGAGTTTATGAAGTAATTATTATACATGTTACTAGTTACTCCTTGAATATTATAAAATTTCTCGCATTTCAATACTAAGCATTGAATTTGCTAGTAAACCTCACTAGTACTTCAATGGTGAAAGCAATATTAAGTCTTATTTAATTTGTAACATATCTTGGACTTCTAATAATATTGTCATACTCTTTTTTATAGCAAATAGCATTACCATTTTTTTGTGGAAAAAAGATTTACAGCAGATATCAAAGAAGTTCCCACAAGCTTGCTATCCAAAAAAGCATATTTTTTCAAAATCTTTTCAATATAATGAGATTGATCAATAAATATACCATTTGAAACTCTAGTAACTCTATGTCAATAATCATATTTGCTTCACCTAAATCTTTCATATCAAAATTACTTTGAAGCAATAATTTAGTATTAGTAATAAAGTCCATATCTGAACCAAACATTAAAAGATCATTTATATATAAGCATATAATCACATGATCATTATTAGAAGATTTATAATATATGCATTTGTCACTATTATTAGCTTTGTAACCATTATTAAGTAAACAATCATCAAATTTTTCGTGATATTATTTAGGTGCTTATTTTAAATTATATAAAGATTTTTCTAACTTACATATTTTGTTTTTATTTTCTAGCATTACAAAAATTTTGGGTTGATCCATATATATTTCTGCTTCTAAATCTTCATTTAGAAAAGTTATCTTTACATCTATTTAGCGGCCTCGGTCACTCTAGAAAAAGCATCTAAAAAAACTAATATCTTATTTTTTGCTTAAAACATTTAGCTACTAGTCTAGTTTTGAACTTGTCTACGAACCCATCATAATTCAACTTTCTTCTAAGCACCCATTTACATCCAATTGCTTTAAAACCGAAGGTAATTAAATTATTTTTTGAGTTTCATTTGAAATAAGAGAATCTATTTCATTGTTAATAACTTCTCTCCAAAGATATGCATTAAGAGAAAATAAGACATGTTATAAAAAAAAAATGATAGTTTGTATGTTAAATAAATAACAATCAAAATCAAAATCTTTTTCAACTCTAACTCTTTTACTCTTTTTTGGTTTAAAATCATTTCCATTTTCAAATCTTGAAAAAGATGGTTCAATACTTGGTTGAAGATTTGTATCCCCACTATTTTTCATTTTTGAAAGGAAATTGGTTTTCATAAAAAATAGCCTCCGAGGATTCAATAATAGTTTTATTATCAAGATCAAAAAAATCTATAAGTTTTACCATTCAAAGCATAACCTAAAATTGCACAAGTAGAATTTTTTCTTATTATTATTATTATTTTCAAGTTTTAGTTTTTTAGGATTAGGTAGTCTAAAAAAACTCCAAACACCCCAAATTTTTTAAAAAATCATTTTTGATTTATAGATTTTCCACAGTTCATAAGGAGTTAAAAGTGGTTTTATGCAAAATTCTATTCAAAACAAAATTTACGGATAAACTAATTTCACCCTATAGATTTTATTATGTATAAGAACTAACCATTAGATTGAATAAAACTAATGAAATTGTATTCTATAAATGTATCACTTTGAAATTTTTTAATCTTGTTACCAAATCTACTCTCAACTTCTTTTAGAAAAAATAATAAAATTTTCAAATGTTTCATTTTGATACTTCATAATAAAAACATATTAATATTTTGAAAAATCATCGAAGAAAGTTATAAAATAATGATTGCCACCATAAGTTAAAATATCACCGAACTCACATATATCAATATGTATAAGTTCTAATAACTCGTAATTATGATCAATACTTTTAAAAAGTTTTCTTAAAATTTTAGTCATGCTAGAAGATTCATATTTTTCAAATTCATTTTCAAGTTTAGAAATTAAACCATGATTACTCAAGTTTATCACATATTTGTAATTCATATGACATAACCTATCATGCCAAACATTCACATAAAAACAATGTAAGTAGAAGTGAATTTTTCATTTATTTCAATGTTAAGCTTAAACATTCCATCACAAGCATAATCTTTTCTAGCAAATAGATTTTTTGAAAAGTATATATTGATCAAACTCAATAAATTGCTTAAAACTAGCCTTACTTAAAAAAAAAAAAAAAAAAAAAAAAAAAAAAAAAAAAGCCAATAACAAAATTTTTGTAAATTTCAAGAGCATACAACATATCTTTGAGAGTGACCTCTCTCCCAAATGTAAATTTGAGAAGTACATCTTCAATCCTTGCTACTCTAGTACTATGAGAATAGCTAAGCATGATGTCCTTTTTTCATATAAGATGGTATAAGTTTTGAACAAGTTTTTATCGTAAGAGATATGTCAAGTAGCTCCCGAATCAATCCACCATCTATTTAAGCCTTCGAGAATGTTAATCTCGAAAATCATAGCTCAAGTGGTGTTTTAATAATGTTAGCTTGAGCTATAGGCCCATGTTTCTAAAACTCACAAATTTAGCAATATGTCAAGGTTTATCGCAAATAAAACAAGCAAAATTGTTTTTAATCATTAGTGTGGTTGTTGTTATTTGATGGTGGTTTAGGACGTGATCCATACTTTCTTATTTGGTTGGAGAAAAAATGATTTCCACAAGGCTTTTTCTTGAAAAAAATTTTCATTGGTCAAAATTGACCATTAAACTTTTCATGGCTTTTTAGCATGTGATAGGAATTTTTATTAGAGGTAATGAAATTTACCTCGGTACCATTTTAGCCATTAAGTTCAACGATTTTGTCTTGATTTCTTACTTCCTCTTCTACTTTTAAATGAGTATTAAGAGTTTCAATAAAAAGCTCTTTTTTTTATGCCTCAAACCTTTAGCAAAATCTTTCTAGGATTTTTACAACTTGTCAATGATAATTGAAATGTGTTTTTGTTCATCTACATATATGTATCTAGAGTAGATGTCATATGCAATCATTTGAAGTTCATAGGCTTGATCTATCATTGGTTCTTTTTCGTTCATCCGATACCTAAACAAATGACCATAATCACATTTTTTGGATCTAACTTATTCCGTATCATACTTTTTGTGTAAAGCTTTCTAAATTTTCTTAACGGGTTTACCTTACATTTGGACCCCGTACAGTTTCAATTTTTTTGATTGAGACACTCTATAATTTTTCAACTTGATTGAAACCTTCTACTCTTCAAAAATTTTTTATTCACGCCCTCCGTTATGACGTCGTTAAAATCAACCTATCGGTGATTGACACGTGATATCATGGGATCCAAATAACAATTTTTTTGTCCGAATTGAAAAAAAATTTAAAACTAATTTTAACAATAAAATAATTCATAAAATTAAAAAAGGAAAAGACCAACTCATCCCCACTCCCATTGTTTCCTAATCTAATTATTTTTTCTTCGAAAAACGCTTTCTCTCTCTCCTCACCATTTCTCTTTCGCTTTCTTTCTAAAAAAATCCCCAATATTGCTTAAACATATACCCTAATTTCAACATCCATTTCACCATTTCTTTTCTCGTTTTCACTCTCATTCATAAAATTCATCAAAACTCAACTACTACCCAACCAAAAACAATCAAAACTTAAGTTTCATGATTTTCTCAAAAAACAACCACAAGCCCGAAAAACTAGTTTTTCTAAGTCAATCATTTCAATGGCTTGTACCAAGCAAACAACAAGAAAATCTACATATGGTAAAGCCTCAAGGAAGCAATCAGCCACCAAGACAATTGGGAAATCGGATCCAACTCATCGGAGGAGTGATGAAGCCTCATCGTTTCGAGCTAGAACAATGGCCTCGAAAGAAATTAAGAAATACCGGATCGAAGACCATCGAGGTGTTAATAGGGAAATTATCTTTTTAAAGGCTAGTAAGAGATCCAAGAGAGGAGTGCAATGGTTGTTGATAGGAGACCCAATAGCTTAAAAGCATGTTTATGCGAGATAAACTCTCAACGCTTCTAGAGGTTCCTCACGTTTCCATGGGTACCCCAATTCAGCAAGAGTTTAACCCTAAATCTTCTTTCTATAAACAGCTTGCGAATGCCGTGAATGAGGGAAAATTGGTACCTAAATACGTTATTTTTGGGTTGTTATCAAAGAGGCTTGAAAAGGGTTATTATAGAGGTGAAAATGGGTTTATTTTGGATGAAATATCGTAAACGAGCATGTAGGTTGAGATTCTTGACCAAATTATTGATATTGATCTCGTTATGAATTGTAAAAGCGGTAAAGGGAATTTGGTGAAAAGGAATTTTATAACCGTAGAAAATTCTAGCTACTCCGTTGCTAATGCGAAAAGGGTGTCGAATGAAAAGTTTTGTATATATGCGAGCAAGGCAAGTCATTAGAAGAATACTATTGGAAACACCGAAGCTTTTTGACTTTCAAGTGGTAGGTGGACCAGGAGAAACATGGCAAGGCTTGCTAGCTACATTTCATCTAAAAAATCCGAATGTTGTTAGTTCTTCACCAAAACCGGTCGCTTGCTTTTTCTTCCATACAAGACGATGAGTCACTAACTACCTCGATTTCATTCTCAAGCGTGCATGGTATAGTAAATACGTATAATGTGAGCACTATATGATTTTTAATCCAAGTAAAAGTGAATGATTGTTTTTATTGGTATGATTATGAATAATCGGACCCTAAAATTTGAATCTAGGAAAGAGAGAGAGTGAGGAGAGAGGACGGTTTTTTCTTAAGAAAAAATAATAAGGTTTGGAAATACTGGAGTGGGGTGATTTGGTCTTTTCTTCTCATTTTTTAATTTTATGAATTATTTTATTGATAAAATCAATTTAAATTATTACTTTTTTTAGTTCAAATGGAAAATTATTATTTAGGACTCATGATGCCACGTGTTAATCACCGATAGGTTGTTTTTAACAATGTCATGATGGAGGATCCGAATAAAAAAAATTTCAAAGAGCGAGAGGGTTCAATTAAGCTAAAAAAATTATAAAGTGTCTCAATAAAAAAAATTGAAACTCGTATAGGGTCCATATGTGGGTAAACCTATTTCTTAACGAAGAATATCATTGGTCATAGTAGTCATTAAAACTCACAATTAAGTAAATAATTATGATAATAATTACTATCCTTTTTTTCATTTATTAATTATCCCTTCGTGATTTATATTTTCATTTTCTTTTTCTTATTTTTTCTATTAAGATGTATTCAACATTCAATAGGCTAAGATAAAATAAAATACCTTTCCTTTATTTTTTAAATTTGCACCATGAAAGAAGAATGACTTGTGAAAGTCACCCACTCCAATAAAGCTTTGTCCATAGATAATATTAGTGTCTTTCTATTGGCAGTTTTGTCTTAAATTATTGGAAAAAAGGAAGAATATTATCTAAAAAGTCACAAATATGAAAAATACCAAAATAAGTTTATCATAAATTATTATCAGGTCACCCGATTCTATTTTAAATTCAAAAAAAAATCCTCAAAACCTAAACCCAATCGAAATCCTAAAAATCTCTAATCATTCACCGTAGGACGAGGTTGAGAAGATTAGTAAGGCCATGGAATACATCTAGGAAGCCTTTGTCTCCAAGGTAAGGGTTTGCGTATGCAAAGACTGTGACACGAAATCCTATACATGATCCAACAGGCTTATTATAGCCATGGAAAACTATGTCAATGGCATTCAATGTCGCAAGGGTTGCACCTAAGCCATGGTCAATCATTGTTATGCTCACCTCCTCGCCATTGTGAGCATACTTGTCTACAAGCCTCCTAACCTCGGGAAGAACATGGATAGCAAATATATATATATTTCATTAGGGGTTAGGGGTTTTTAGGACTTCAATTAGGTTCGTATTTTGGGGATTTTTTTTTGGTTTCGAAATAAAATCAGGCTACATGTCATCCAAATTAAGAACAAATTTTAATACTAAGCCACGTAAAATCCTCGATGACTTTTAATTCTTGTTATGATGTTATCTCGTCTTACATGTCGGTTGAAATTAAATTTTTATCTAAAAAAATTCTCACGTGCTAATATAGTTATCGAAAATTTAATTTATATTTTTTGTATTTAACATTGAAAAAACATACTAAAATAATTAAAAAGTATTAAATTTGTGATTTTATTGTAGAATAAGCCTAAAGAGAATGCTTGTCAAATACTGCTGTGTTTTCTCTCTTGCATCTTGTTAGAAGAACAACGCTATTTGTAGGCTAAGGAAAAAAAATTATCGTTTGAGAATTTTTTTGGTGGCACAAAAGAGATTTCAATAACAAGTTTGACCGTTTAAACAACAAAGACCAACGACTTTTTTTCTTTTTTTCTTTTTCAACTCAAAGTTATTATTGTTGTCAAAATAATTTTAGACAGTACTTATGTATCGCCCTTGAAACAAATGCCTTTTCTTTTTAATAATAATAAGTTTTTAATATTTTATAAAAAAATATTCCAACAATTCATAGTTATCATTATTTGAATTAAAAATCCTTGACAAGAAAAATGATTTATAATTAAAATTTTCTACTAAAATTTCATATAAATTGACGTGTACAGTTATAAGTGGTAAAATGTGAATTTTATAATTGATGAATGATTGATCTCTCATGATAAAAAAATGTTCACGCCGCATATATATATTTATATGAGAATTTTGTATAAAAAATTTATTTACACTCCTTTGAAAAATAACATAACATAATTTGTTATTAATTATCTCACATGCTATATATAAAATTCTTTGGTAGACACTATAAATCTTAACTGAGCATTGCTTCCATGTTGGATCTCTGCTCGGTTATCAAACGTAAGAAATCACAATTTTTTTATTCCTTTAGTGTACAACAAATTAATATCAAATACATAAACAATAATTTTATTTATAAAAAAGCAACACTTAAAATTTAACTCTTTGACTCACAAAACCAAATAATCACATAGAACTCGCATAATTTATAGTCCACACAACACATAGTAAAATTGCCACACAACCGACACTAATCACTGTACACACAGTTTTCATTTGATTAGTAGGAAAGAAATGTTCAAAATAGAATGCAATAATCAAAATTAAAATTAAAAAATTAAAATGATATTTTTATTTTAATATTGCATTCGAAATGGTAATAAAGAATTAGAATGAAATTTAAGAATTTCAGTATCTAGTTTTTAAGAAAAATAAGAATAATAATAAAAATAATAATTTTATCAATTACCATGGTAAAAAAAATAATAAAAGTAACTATGACGATAGTGGTAATGGTAGTAAAATAAGAGATGGTAGTGGTGATGATAGTAAAAGAAGAGATGATGAATGTAGTAATAATAGTATAGTAATAGTAATAAAATATTTTTTAAAAATTAACGCCGCCACCATAAGAAGTGGTAGTTGAATAAGAGTAGTGGTGGTGGTGGAAGAAGAGGAGTAGTAGAAAAATAATAATAATAATAATAATTTTTTTTATCACCACCATCAAAGAGGGTGGTTGTAGAGGTGGTGATCAATGTAAAAATAGTTGATACACAATAAATAAAAATAATACATTACTATTTTAAAGAGCAAAAATCTCATTCACATTCTTTTTTTTTATTACCACCTCCTCTATGAGAATGAAATTATGTTTAATTTGTATCTTCATTCTCATTTTTCATTTTTTTCAATGAAACACATACATAGTGGAAATAGAAGTTTTATTTTTATTTTTACCATTCTATTTTTTTTTTTTGTTACAAAAACAATACCACAAGGTACAAATGAAACTTATTTTTTGATTTTTGATAAGTGATGATATAAGAAATTATAGTGGACTAGTGGTGTTGAAATATATTATAAAACGATACGAGTTGGTTACCCACGCTATGCTACGGATTGAGCGTGAATATGTAAAATCATTTGAAAAAAATCATTATAGTTTGATGGTCATTGCCATGCTATATATCTACTAAAATATATTAAAATAAAAAAATATATTTTTTATATATAAAAAAACTCCTCCCTAAGATGAACAAGTTAGAGCCAAGATCAGCATCAAAGTCGTTGAAATGAAATTTGTTGTCTCATTCTCCATGTTCTCTTCTCTTTGATTTTTCTTTATAATTAAGAATCAAACCACGAAATAAATTAAGCTGAAAACTATAAAAAAAGAAGTTTTTTTTCAAAAAATTAGAGATAAAAATACAATATTTGTTAAAACTTCGTATCAAATACATAAACAAAGATTGAAATTACAATAATGTCATTATAAAGAGTAAAATTGTAATAATATCAAGTGAATAGCGCCCACAAGCATGGATAAATGATAATTGAATAGTATAAACTTTTTTTTTTTTTTAAATGATGTTGATAGTAGAATGGTGGATTGGGGAAAATGATAGGATAGTGGCAATGGTGAATAGGTGGTGGTGGAATGGTAGTCATGATAGGGGTTGCATAGGTGGTAATATCTTTTGTACAATAACATAGAAGAGGTGGTGACAGTAGAAACAATGGCGGCTATGAGCAAGGAGGTGGTGCTGGGTGGTGGAGCGATGGCCGTAGTAACAATGAGGACAATATTGTGTCTGTAGTAGTTGGAATAGTTAGGTAATAATTTAAGAGGAGTATTAGTTAAGATTTTTTTTTTTTTGTACATAGTTTATTCAATTTCACAACTTGAAATATTTTTCAATAAATAACTATATTTCTAGTTTGACCGGACCAATTTTCAGTAAAATGTTTTATTACTATATAATTAAAGGAGATGGGGTGTTTGAATAGTGATTTTACTGTTCATCCACTCACAAATCACTATTCACTCATTGTAGCTAGGTTTTTTTTTTTTTTTTTTCTTTTGTAATTTTTAAGTTGTTTCATTCCTAAAATTTTAAAGTAAAAATTTTAACCCCCTAGCTGATGCATTACACATGTTTTTTGTTCTATCAATTGATTTTTTTTAATTTAATTGGGTGTTAAAATTTTAAAAAATCAATCTTTATTTTTTTCCACATAAATTGATGATTATATAATATATTTTTATATTTTAGAATAAATATATAATACTCTTATTGTTTAAAATTGATCTTTTCAATTTATTATAAAAATTCACATCAAGTTAATTTTGTTCTTATTTTTATATAATCTTGTTCATTAATAAATATAATTTATTTTCTCTATGTATGGATTCGAATAAGTTTTTTTTTTTAATACCT